TGAATTTCTTTTTTTTCTATGAGTATTCTGTCCCTTGCTCTTGGTGATCTTGATCTCCTGAATGGAAATCAGGAGTCGTCTTTGCTGACTCTGATTCTGCTGCTTGACAGCCGTGTCATTCGGGCACCTGAGTGCCTCAGTCCTCATGTACACAGCAAGGGCTGTGATGCCTGCCTTCTGGGTCCATTGAGATCTGGGAATGTTGCTTCTACTGTACTTGGAAATATAAACCCCACACGGTGGATCTCCTGGCTAAGTCACCTTTGGCAGATTCTCTAACCTCTCTGTACCTCAGGTTCTTCATCTGTAAAATGGGATAACAGTAGAAACCATGTCACGGGGCTGATGTCAGGCTTCAAGTTAGTACTTAAACACTACAGAGCACCCAGCACACTTAGAAGACTCACTAAGTGTTACCGATTTTCATCTATGTTGGATCTTTTAGATTCTTTCTTTTCTTTTTCTTTCTTTCTTCTCTTTATTTTTCTTTCTTTTATCTCACTTTGTTGCTCTGGGTGGAGTGCAGTGGTGTCATCATAGCTCACAACAACCTCACACTCCTCAGCTTGTGATCCTCTTGCCTCAGCCTTTCTGAGTAACTGGGACTGCAGGCTCCCGCCACGATGCCCAGGTAGTTTTTCTATATTTAGTCACAATAGGGTCTCACTCTTGCTTGGACTGGTCTCCAACACCTAAGTTTAAGCATCCTGCCACCTCAGCCTCCCAGAATGTTAGGATTATAGGCATAAGCCACAGTGCCCTGCTGGAGCTTTCAGATGTTTGGTCAAGGCAGCCAAGAACACTTGGCTGGGATCATTGATGGTAGAATCCTGACATGTCTGAGCTCATAGACCCTTCTAGAAATCACTTCTCTCACTTAGATCTGGCAGATTGAGGCCCAGAGCCAGAGGAGAACTCACCAAAGTCCATTGGCAAATGAGAGTCTAGGACAGGATGGATGCGGATGTTGTCTGCGGGTCCCCAATGCCTGCTTCCTGAGTGGCTTCTCATCATGTATGGAAGTCCCCTGGGTTCTGGAACATGGTTACCGGGGTGGGGGGCGAGGAACAAGGTCACCCTGCAGCCCATCACCTGAAGCCCCAGAAAGAGCAGGAAATGCCACCTCCTACGGTAGGTCAGAGTCTCTGCCACCTCCTTTCCTTGAGCCAGGGCATGGAAAAGACTCCAGGAAAGGGAGAAGAGCCACAGAGTCTCACTCTGCTTGGTCTTGAGAGGCCTTAGAGAGTCCAGGGCCCCCACCTGGACCTTCAGAAGCCTCCTTTCCATTCCAGTGTCCCGAGTCTGGCAATCCAACTCCATGTACAGGCTGAATCCTCCCAGATCAAGGCCTGGCCAGCCCCAGAAGACACCTGCTTAGGTCTGGTTGAAACTCAGGGTTCCTCTTTCTCCCTCCCCAGGTGCTCCCAAGACCCACAGGCAGGGCAGATGCTGTCCGAGCTCTTTACCAACAGGAAGGAGAACATTCCTCTCAAGTTTTCCGAAGACTGTCTTTACCTGAATATTTACACTCCTGCTGACTTGACCAAGAAAAGCAGGCTGCCGGTAAGCTGC